CCCATTACGGCCCATAACAACTGAAATAGCAATTGTCATAGTAAGGTTCGGGCTCTGTCATAGAGCGCAGGCTCTAATCAATAATGATGAATGGTAAAATTTAGCGGCAAGCAGGAGAAAGTCTAGTTGCCTCCCGCCATAAATCTGTACAAATACCAAGCCGTGCAGCTGCTGGATCTGGAAATTTAAAAGGCACCGCTCTCTCCCCACCCCCTCCGCACGCACCTCTATAAAAGTTGAAAAAGGAGAAATGTGCAATATGTCAATTCTAATAATCCACATGCTGTTAGGACACTTTTCTATTTATTCAAAGCGGGGTGAACCCTAGGTTGTTTTCAAGGTCAATTCCAGGTGAAAGGGGGGTCAGGCGGAGGCCACCGCCGCCCCATGCAGGTCAATAACGCCTCCGCACTTCCCCACAAGACAAGCTGCTCACACCCAATCAATCCAGCGACGCTGCCGCTGCACCCGGCGTAATGAACAGCGAATAAATGTAGCCTATCATCACAAAACATGCTTTTTAAGTACCTTCCCTTTTCATGTAAAACCTCTCGCTGTCAAATTCCACATTCACTCATCCAGCAGTGAGTAGCAAAAGTGAGAAATCAGGCTCTCATTGGGGTTGGTAAAAGGTCACTGCTGACAGACACGGAGGTTAAACTGCCGAGTTAAAATACTGTTCATTACCCACTGCAGCTTTTTGCTAACTACACTTCTTTGTGTTACAGTCAAGCAGTACATCAATATGCCCCTCCTCCTAATTCATTAGCAATTGTTGAATTGTACAGAAGGGGGAAAAAGCAGGATTGATCTTTTATATGTATTTTTTTTTTCCTTTTCCATGCCAGATACTTTTACATCTTTATCCATTCGGTATTAAATACTCAGCTCACAGACTGGGCTGTCTGCTTGCGATGCACGGTCGTCGTTATAGTACAATTCCTGAAAGCAGAACCGGCCAGTTCGTCTGAAACCCCAAAGGCTTGGGGTCGGTCTAGCAATGGCTCCTTTTCTTTCCTCCTTTTATTAATTGCCCTCTTCCTAATGATGTCTGCATAGCAATAAACTTGAAATTTCACACCACAACTACGTTATATTTAAACATGTTTGAAGCTCAAATCAAGCAAAAAAACCTCCTCCTGCAGATGAAGCAAAAACGGTTAAAAATGTATGTAACATGCTAAACTGCTATCTAGCTTAGATAAAACGTCTATGACCTGTTCATGCTGACTAGGTTAGATCTTTATCAAACGCTATCCTCAGCGAAGATCTCAAGACATTCCCTAATCTAATATTTTATTAAGAAATGTTTAATGTCTGCATTTTTTTCCACGATTAAAGAATTTTGATGTAGCCAAAAGAGCCATTTAGAACAGCAAGGAATCATTGGAGTTCAAATGGAAACAGCAGTGAAGGTTTCATTTGTACCAAAGGCAGTGATTCAGTGGGAATTCTTAACAGTTGAGACCAATTTCCCAAAATGAAATTCCATTCTTTGATTAATTAATAAGTAGATGGGATTCCCTTTATTGAAATGCAAAGCTTTTGTATTTAAAGATAGCCATCTTAAAAAAATAACCTCGCAGAGCAATAGGGAAATTATCACAAATCATGAATAAAATAAAGGTTTATTTACGTGCACACTACAACAATAATTTGACTCAACAAATTACCATTATCTATTTAAATCTTTAAAAAATGCATTCAGAGATTTCTTCAGGAAAATATATCTTTTTTTTCCTCCTGTATGCTTTCTCTCTCAGTGGGACTGAAAATAAAATGTTATGACTTAAATCACAAGAGGCTAACATCATTTTTAGCAACAAGGGCTGCATAATTTCAAGACTATGAGTGAGTGGCTGACTTTAACTAAAATGTTTCAGTTCTGTGCGTATATAGGTACATAAATAATTCAGAATTAATCCCTGCAGAGGGGACAATGGGAATCGTAAATTATCCATGTGCCGTCCTCAACATTAGAGGCAATGAACCTATAGTAACAAACTATGAGTGTTACTCATTACATACATTTCACAGACACCTTAACCTTTTGAATATTAATTTCCCTCTGCAGCTTGTAGCTAGGCGGCATAATTTTTTTTCCTTTCCTTTCCTGCTTCTTTCTGTGCCTTCATTCCTTTTTTTTTCCCTCTCTCTTTTTTTTAACCTCTCATGAACAACATATCAGTTAAGCTGTTGAGTGGATTGTGAATACTGAAGGAATATTGATTCTTTTTCTAACTAAATAGTTACCGGAAAGCATTTTTAAAAAAGCTGGATTGTTGTTTCAGTTATATTACATGCAGCACTTTATGTACTCAGAGATTAGGTATGTGTAAAATACTGGCTTAGGCATTTTATGCAGTCTGATGCATGTAAAGCCATGGTTCACAGCTACTTCTACACCACCAGGAACGCTTGGAACCTTTATCATTTTCTGATGCCAATAAATGTCACATCATTTTACAATACCTAAGCTTCCCAAGTTTTCCAAGAGAAAGGTGGAAAGTGTATTTCATCAGAAGCCAAGAGAGCCAATAGTAGTATCATTTTTACCCTAACATATTTTTTCTCTGATGATTGACAGGGTGTTTTGTTTTTTCATTTTTAACTCTAAATATGGCACATGAGAATCAAAAAATTCTGTAAACTATATTCAAAGGCAGAAATCAATTAGCTCAGCACAAAATACTGCACATCTATCATATCAGATTCATGAAAAATAAAATAAATATGTTTGCTTTTGGAAGTACTTTCCAGAGAAGACCATTTCAGGAACAACACTAAAACCATGCTTCTAGGCTTTGAAACGTGCAAGAGGAGTCAATGGGATGTTATGTGCAGTATGCAGCAATGATGAAACAAATTATACAGACTCTTGCACATTTCAAGTTTAGCTGAAATTATACCCTAACTGTTCTGTAAACCCTTACTTCTCTTAGGAAACTTTACTGGGGTTTTTCATAAGAGGGTTTAGAGGATCAATACCCATTTGGAAAGCTCATGATGCTTTTTCTGTTAAAAAGTGGAACAGAACAATACTGTCAGGATGCTCATCCCCTGATTTCAAGGGGACTTCATTCACATGAATAAGGGCTGCAAGTTCAGGGTAAGGTCTTTTAGATGATTACTCTACATATTTCATTCTTATGCTTTTCTGTAAGCATCTGCTACTGCTCTGTCCGAAACAGGAATGCATGGCTAGGGGGCTGTTTGGTCATATTCAGTAAGGGGTAATAATAATCCTACCAATTTCTTGCCAAGTGCATCCAGAGAACTAACTTGCTCTGAGTTAAAATAATCTCTATGACGTAACAGCATGAAAAAACAGCACTGATGCTTTGCTCCACATGATTTTTATTATTCTCATGGGTTCTTCTGTTGAGGCCTCTTTCTCCTGCCTTTGCTCCCCTAGATCTCTCTGACAACACATCAGGCCAGGGGTGAGAAAGGCATGCTAATATTTTTATCTCACGCAGTATGCAAAGGAACGGAGACGTGCTTAGCATCAGGTCTAGCTGCCTCCAATTTCCCCCTCCTCAAGGCTTAAGAAATTCCTTTAGAGCTGAGTTGACTAGGGGTATCTAACGGTTTCATACATGTCTCTTCGGCCTCCTGCCCCTAGATTCATAGCAAGATGTCCTAAAGTGTTACACATCCACTGATCACTACCTGATTTAATAATCTTATGCTTGAAACAAACCTACACTGCCACCAACACTTCCCGTATCTGATAAGTTCTGCTTTCCATTTGGTAACTTTGAGACTGGTATCTTCTACACAGGGTCCCTCTCCCACCTTTTCATCACTGTTATTAGGTTACAATACTGTAGGAGATGACTGTTATTGAAGTCTGTAGAACTATCACATTGAAATATGGAAGAATCCAGTTTCTTACTGGACAAACCTGCCCTCTCTTATTCCTACAAGTTATAGATGGAATGAATCCTTCCTCTTCTTGTTTTTAACTTCATAATGCATTAGAATGCATGTATCATAACATCATACATGCATTAAAAAATGCCAGCACAGAAGAGCATTTTTGTGCCTAGCAAGGTAGATATCTGTAAACTGATCTAGCTTTTTAAATTATTTGAGCATAAACAATTCAGATGTAAAGATTCTCTGTGATGGAAAAATATGAAATAAATTGGTGTCTTGTCACCATGTGAAATTCCATTGAAATACCCCAATTTATGCCAGTTATTGGAAGACAAGCACTTATTTCTTTCACTGTCTTCAGAAAAACGTATCACAGAATATTCTGAGTTAGAAAACATACTAACCACAGTATTAAGCACATTTTCAGGCAGAAAATATGAGTGTAAAATGTTCACAAAAACATGGTCCTGTGGTTATGCTAAGAAGAAATGAAAAAAATGCAAAATAAATATTCAAGTTTAGAATTTATGCTAAATGAACTTGCAATAATTGTGTGCTAAAAAAATAAATCATGTTAACCCACTTGACTGAGACTTACATGGCTTCTCTTCTTAGAAAAAGAACCCTCATAAACCACAGCCCAATTATTCAATTTCCCTTACTAATTATGGAAACTACTCATTTCTTGGCCTCAAGCACTAGATGATGTATCTCTGAAGGGCAACACAAGATTTATCATAATCTGAGTCTCTCTTTATTTAATGAGAATAAAAATAAATACTTTAGAAGTTCCAGTGTTACAAGTAACTTTGGATTCTAGGTTCAATTTGATTGATGAGTTCTCTTATACTGAATATTACAATTCAAAGCACTTTCAATTCTAAGACAGTCGCAAAGATTGTGGTGTTCATTAAATATAACAAAACACAAGTACAAATAAAGAGCAAATTTGTCACAAGCTCTAACAAGACTAAAACCCATCCCCTATTGCCCAGCATAACTTGCTTTGACTATCACAACTTAGGGATGTTCATCCACCATGATCCAATTTAAAAAAGCATTTAAACACACACTTAACTCCATCCTCGTTCAGATAAACACCAAAACTCATGCTTCACCTGGTTTCACATGCATTCCAGCATCGTCCCAAACTAGTGGGTAGGAGGTGCTTAAATAGAAGAGGACAACGCCGAGGAAGATCTACAGAGCTGACTGGGCACAAATAAGGTAAGTTGGATTCTGTAATGGGCTTTAGAAAGTTCTTTTTCACCTTGAAGCAAAGGAAAAAAAAATCAGATTAAAAACATCCTTTTTGAAAGCAGTAAGAGCAGCTCTTGGAAGAGTTTCATCCATGTCTACCTTTTACCTTGAGCTAGAGGAAACAGGCAGAATTCATCTGACTAAAGGATATTTCTACAGTGAAGATGTCTACATCTGAGCCTCTACAGTCACTGGACAGAATCATCTCTGTGGCACAGCTGAGTTCATCACAGAGCAGATATCTAAAATATGTCAGCAGGATCACCTCCTAAAAGCACCTATTTTTTTTTCCCCACTGTCTACAAAAGGAGCTTAGGGTGACTAACTCAGGCACAGCTTTCTATAGCTGTAGACAGCTCAAGTTAGGCAAGACAAATCCCACACAAACTGTCTCAGTGTAGCCCAAACTATTTTCTGGTAGCAAAAGATATTATTCACTTTCAACATCAAATATAAAAGCTATAGGAAATAACTTACTATAGAATGGGCAAAAATCTCAGATTCTTTGTGTAAAACTGGCAGCCAACTAAGAAAGAATGCTGTATTGTGATGGCCTGCAAACTTTGTGCACGTTTTTTTATCAGACGTTTTGCAAGCTATTTTGGTAACACTTACCTCAGGTTGTTTTTCCACACTGTTTGTTGTTCTTGTTTTAATCAACTGTTCATTTTCCTCTCATAGATTTCGCTGCTAGATTTTATCCTGCTGTTCAGGAAATTGAGAGGATTGTCTGTAGCTTAAGTTCCACCACTGCATACACTGAACTACAACAGGGTGATCAGCAAGTGTTTGGGCACTTATACGCTGTTATCATAAGCACAAACCCCTTCTTTCTGAAGCGCATCATTCTCTGCTCAAATAAGAAGAGGGCTATAGAGACATTTGTTTAAACAAACAGAACCATGCCTATATTCCAGCATGAACATGAATTTTCTAAAGAAATTCTTCCATTATCAGTTTCTCTCAAACATAGCTTTTTCTGTGAAAAAGTTATTGATAATATTCTGATTGACTTCTGGAGCAATTTTCATCTACTCCCTCACCAGAATGATATCACCATTGCTAAGGGAAATGCTTTGCGAGTTAGTACCCCATGCATGGGTATTTCAGTATGGGTCGTGTCCAAGGGAAAGAAGGAGAAGTTGTAACAAATTAGCCTTGAAACTTGTAAGCCCAGGCAAATTGAATTAAATGGACAAAATCCATAAAAGAAGAAACAGTAGGTAATAAAGATCATAAGAGGTCTATTAAAAGGAAATCAAAGAACAGTCAGAGATATCCAGTGCTGAAGAGGTATCTGAGAGATAGCTTAAAGGAAAGTTAGCAGATGTAATCAAAAAAGTAAAAAATGTAAGGACTAACCAAAAAGAGTAATGGTTATAGATACATGATCACTAGTTAATGGTCTTAACAGATGAGAGAATCAAATATAGCACGTTGAAACAAAATTATACTACTTCTCTGGTTCTCCTCTGAGCTCTAGTTGAGCATCATCAACTTCCTTTCCAAAAATAAATATAACTTAACGAGGAGAAACAACCTAGTACTTTTTTCTTTTATAAAAAGCACTATTTTGACAATCTAAGATATTAATACCAAGCATCTGGCACCATTAATGTCAGATGTTAACTGAATATCTGTACTAGAGCAGCAGTGTCTCCTGTAGTAACATGAGAGGGGAAGAGGGGAGGAGGGGAAGAGGTACACATCTCTTATGTAGTTATGTACAGGTTTTTCTCTACCAAAGAAAATTGATCCTCCCATAGAAATTTACTGATGATGTACTATGCAGATATGATTTGAACAATGCAAACTATTGCTTGTAGGAAGAGGACTAGTATATTCTTATTATTTGTTGAGAAAAAAGAAAGGGTAGAATGACATTACCCATGCTTTTTGCCAAAATATCCATTTAAATTGTCTACTTCTTGTAATACGGTCTTGCTGTAATACCATATTGTTAGCTACTACCACCTGACTTTGCATAAGCATAATCTTCTCTAGCTTTGTCTACATTTAAGAACACTAGAGAACGTTGTTTGAGCTGGAATTTGAAAGGCACTGTTGGCACTAGCTCAGTGCAAGTTTGTTGTTGTTTTTGTAATAGCTTGGTAACTTTGTACAGATCATTAAATAACAGAGAAGGCATAGGAAGTGTTAAGTATTTGCAGTCATTAATCTTAGTTGCGCTTAGAATATAATGCTGTGACACAACGGTACTTAAGTTACAGGGACACATTTTGGATTGTAAACCTGACATAGCTTAGTATTCTGTTTTTCATGAATCAGTTCTGCTTATTGACCACCTATGGAACCCTGTACAAAAGCAAAAAGAACTACTCTCCAATAAATGTAACGTGGCAAAATACAATACTTTTCAGATGCTAACAAAGAAAGTATCTGTGCACCAAAAATGCCACCCATTATGAATTAGGCTAAGTCCTATGAAGGCAATACATATATCCACATTTTTATCCATTTGTAACAGAAATCAAAGACCATAGCCACGTGAACTAAATTGTTAATTATACATTGAATATGCATTAGCTCAAAGGTAAATGCTTCACAATCTGTCCCTATATCCAAAAGGGAAACAAAGCGAAAAACAAAAAGCCCTCTACAATACTGCTGGAAGAGTGGCAACCAAGGAATACTGGAAAGCTTAAACTAAAATTTGACCCTGAAAATTATGTGGCTCAGATCCTCATTAAACATACACTTTAGATAGGATATCATCAAGATACCATCCAAATGTGTGCAACCATTTCCAAACTAAAACAACTTGCTAGGCTTTCTTAATTTCTCCAGTTGTCTTCTGAAGTCACAACATACACTCTCACTGGCCTACGGCCACTGGGGCCACGTACCAAATCTGCAGGTTTGAGAGACTGTTTCTTACAGTAACCAAAATCTCTAGCCAGTTTTAGAAGTAGTCCGAACAGACAACTTAATTTTGCTGGAAACTGAAATTAAAAATTGTAACATTGAGGAAAAATACACCTCTGTATTTCTCAGCAGTAAAAATGTATAAACATTTCAGAATAGGTTCCCACACTTTGCAAAGTAGAGCATAAAGAAAGGGTTTTTGGTTTCCCCCCCCCCCCAGGGAAATAAGGACACAAAACAAAATAAACCCCATAAAAGGATATGCAGAGTATCAGTGAAAAAAGTGAATCAAGTAACCGAACGGAACAAACATATAATCAGCATAAAATCTAGCCTATGCATTTTCACCAGATGAACGTATATAAGTACATACCTATTAATTAATATATAAATGCATACAATAAAATACATTATATTGTAAATGCAATTTCAGAAAAGAAATATGTGCTTTTCAGGAGTGAGGTGCAGAAGTTTAATTTCTCCAATTTGCTGGCCTTTCAATAACTTAAAGGAGAAGTAGCTTGATATCTCATTTTAGAATCTATAAGAGCAAAGGCAAACTAAAGACTCAACATCATCTTGGAAATAAATAAATAAAATAAATATCTTCTGAAGCACCTCAAAGTGCAGGTAAAATATGATTTTTTTTATGCAGTGAGCTAATTAATAAACAAAAAAAAGTAGCAATTTACACAGATGCCCCGTCAAACACTACAGGGGAAGCACAGATGGGGCATCATCAAGTGGCATAAATGCTCTAGTACTCATTTGTAAAATCTGCATAATTCTTCTGAACATCTGAAGGCCTGCAAAAAAACACATGTTAAAACATAATGATGGAAATACCACCACATATTAAAAATTGCAAAAATATATATGTGTATATATGATGTTGAGGCAAGGAATGCTGTTTAGGTCATGGCTGCTTCATAAGCTATGAAATTTAGGAAAGAAAATATGGTACAGAGACAAAAGGATTTCCTGTGGAAAAAACACTAAATATTAGGTCCTTCTAGCTTGAGCTTAATGCAGTTGAATATTTACTTTTTCAGGAAGACTGTAGGATTTCCAAAGTTTTGGTCACTTGGCACTTTCAGGCTCATTTTATCTGTCTTAATTCTTTTGTTTTTTCAAACTCCCATAGCTCATTTTAATTTAATTTCCGTGGAGAGTCATCCCTGGATTGTATTTATTTTTGGATCCTCGGTTTGGTTCAAAGGAAAAACTTTCATTTATGATCACAGTTCACTGCACCATTACAGCTTTTGAAAAAGACGGTAAAATGTAACATCTTTTTCATTTAATTTTTCCATTTAAGAGTCATAACTAAAACGTCATCAGCATTTAAACAGGAAAGAATTGCATATCACACTGTGCTATAGCACCAAATATCTGGATCAAACGTTGCACTGTTCTCAGGTGTATTTTTGTCTATCCTTTCCCTTAAAAAGCAGGAGCAAAAATCAAGACGAAAGCAGAAAGCTGCACCAACTCTGGTTTAAAGTAAAAACCACAAAACTGTTTCAGCATTTTTATATTAAACTTTCAGTTTCTTGAATATGCTCCTGAGCCCTCCAGATTGGCAAAAAACATTCAAACAGACTAGGAAATGAGACAAACGTATTTTCTATTTTATTAGAAAACACATTAGTAAAATATCATGCTTCTCTTTCTGTGAGAGGAGCAAAATCCTGCTTCTTCCGAGAGGCTTTTTGTTGGTTTGTTTGCTTCTATTGAGTGATCCTTGGCTGTACAGTGGAAAGGGCATTCCTTTTGGACTTTAAAGGTAAAGTAGAAAAAAATGACATAAAAGCCTCACTTAGATTTGATTGATGCACTCTCATATTTGAAGTTCACTCACTGCTTTGTGCAAGACGACTGGGGTCACCCCATCCAGTCCTCTAATGAGACTGCGCATGAACACTTGCAGGTTTGTAGGCCTCATTTTAATCAAAGATTGAGAAACACTCCTGACTGATAGTCTTCAGGATCAGATCTAAACAGAAGATAATGTGCTTGATTCGGCCTCTGAAGGTGGGTTGAACAAACCTTTGTGATGTATTGGAGCATTTGCG